TAACTATGACTTTATCCTTTGCTTGATCCTCTGAAGCTAAATTTTAAAGTCATGATACTAAAGTGGTAGCTGCTCTGGCAAATTTAGCTTCCACTTAACACTATCCTTTCTATCGCCTTCTGAGCTTGTGTACATCTTTCTTTATTGCATCAACATATGCAAGACTGGAGCCAGAGTGTCTGTCAGTTGATAAAAACATCACTCTATTCAAATAATTATTCATTTTTGCTTTTATCCATGGTTTAATAGAAACAAGGATAATTAGGACACATAAAATACAGGACATGAAATTCAGAACAGGGCATGTATTCATTATACCATTATGCTCAAAATTCTAAGGAAATTGGTTTCATAATCATAATGTTCATGACATCCAAAGAAAAACAGTTATTTTATTATTTAGTGTGTACAAATACAGAAAGATGTTAAAATGTATGTTCACCAAAATATTTAAACATTTAAATGTGATTCTTAAGGAAAAGGGGAATAATAATAATTATTTTCATTTTTTTCTTTCTTTAATACTCAGTTTATAGTAGGCAGTGTGCTAAGCAGTGTATATTCATTATTCTAAACGACATGAATTTGATGTTATCCCATTTTACAGATGAGGACACTAATGCTAAGTGAGATTAAGTAAATTGTCTGAGATTTCTTACTTAACAAGCAGAGTAGCCAGAAATAGAACCAATGAGCTCATCTGGCTCCAAAAGCCCGTAATCCAATATCTCGGCCTGAGGATCAGAATGTGAAGTGCATCTACTGGAAAGTAAATGCTGGGTCAAGTAGTCAGTCACTGGATACTGGAGAAGTAGCTGCTCATTAAGAGTGACTTTCTTCTTTTCATTCTGAACATGGATGGTAGGACTTAAGGAGACTCTTCTTCTGGGATCCCTCCAAGGAAATGACCTCGTATCAGTTTTGGCTGAGCTTTACAATGTTTTTAGCCATATACCTAATAAAAGAGTAACATGCTAATTGACTGTACATTCGCGATGCCCACCAGCCAATCAGAAGTGAGTATGCAGATTAACCCAAAAAAGATAGTGGGTTAATTTGCATAAGCAGGTGCTGAGTGGTCGGGGGTATTCCACACAACCCCAGCCACTTTGGGCCTCTGGGCAGTGAGGGAAGGCAGAAAGGCGGCTCACAGTCAGAGCGAAGGTGGTGCTGGCAGCCATGGGAAGGAAAGCCCATTCCTGCATGAATCTTTGTGCATCGGGCCTCTAGTCCTATATAATAAAAGTCTAATATGCTAAGTGTCTGGTCATCTGATCATCTGTTTAGCTAATCAAAGCGTAATATGCTAGTGATATGCCAAAGCCACTCAACCACTCACTATGATGTGCACTGACTACCAAGGGGCAGACACTCCAAATGGTAGGTTAGCTTGCTGCTGGGATCCGGCAGATTGGGACTGAATAAGATGTGCTGAAAATGCCCTGGAGCCCTTCTGTAATCCCTCCTTGACTGGCCAACCTTCTGCATCCCTCCTCAGTCCCAGTCATGCACAGGTGGGGTCCCTTGGCCTGGCCTGTGCTCTCTTGCAATCCAGGACCCCTTGGGGGATGTTGGAGTGCTGGTTTTGGCCTGATCCCACAGGCATAAAAGGTTAATATGCAGATTGACAGAACAGCAGAATGACCAGTCACTATAATGTCCCTGACCACCAGGGGGCAGACGCTCAGTGCAGGAGCTCAATGCATGAAGCTGGGCTCATGGCTGGTGAGTGCAGCAGTGGAGGCTGGAGTTTATAGACATCCCCTGAGAACTTCCAGATTGCAAGAGGGTGCAGGTCGGGCTGAGAGACCCTCAATGATTGCACGGATTTTGTGCACCGGGCCTTAGCACTGCTACGGAGGTGGGAGAGGTTCCTGCTACCGCCTCTGTGCTTATCAGCCATGAGCCAGCTTCGAGCTGAGTGGTGCTACCCCTGTCAGAGCACACTGACTACCAAGGGGCAGCTCCTGCATTGAGCATCTGCCCCCTGGTGGTCAGTGCACATCATAGTGACTGGTCATTCTGCTATTCGACCAATTTGTATATTACCCTTTTATTATATAGGATGGTGAATTATTTGGCCTCTTTTGTCCTCTCTATACATTTTGCTTTTTGTAGAAATGACAAATAAAATTTGAATAAGACTAAAAAGAAAATAATGAATATCAAAAAGAACAGTTGTTTTATCCTTCTTTGACAGTTAGCTTTGGGAACTCCCTGTCTCTAATATTTGTTGAATGGGTGAGGGAGTGAATCAATTTGGGGAATTAGGTGTGGATTCCTGAAATATATATACTGTTCCTGCTTTCAACAATATGGGTAATTAGTTTTAACTTTAAAAATGATCATTTTTCTAGTCTAATACATAACTTCATTCATTTTAGTGTATTTAGAAAAGTCTCCTGTATATCTTAACCTTTACTTTAAGTGAACAATGTAACAATAGTCATTTAGTCTATAAAGTGAAGTTCCAGAAATTATTCCCTTAGAAACTGAGATCATTATGTAGGAAGAAAACTCTAGAAGCACATAAGTGTAGAAAGTATTTAAAGGTAACCCTACAAAGGGAAAGTTTATTAGGTAAGGAAAAGTTTATGATTTGTAATTTCATTTGATTTTTGCCTTTTTTTGAAAAACAACAAGGAAGATTCACATATGCATAGAAAGAAATTTCTCAGTCTTATGCAAAATTACTTTCTTGAAATTGCTGATCAGTTTCCCTTTTACTTAATCAGACTGTTGGTACCATTTAAACACAGAATGATGCCAAATGAGTAGGCAGTTACTTATAGTTCAATGATTTCTCTCTTTAACATCTTGAAAGCTGAAAAGAGAGTTATCCACTCGGCATATGTTTGCTCTTGAAATAGTCCAGCAATGGTAGTGACAACATTTTCATTGGTTATTTTTTAAAATAGTTTCTAAGTGGAAACTATTACTGTATGGAAAGAGAACCCTTCTTTTGGAGGACACCTGGGCAATGAAAACTTTCTTTTATCTGGTACCAGACTCCCTCCTTCTTCTCTAGACCAGACCAAGTAAAACTTATTTCATAGTGACTCTCTTTATACATTACTTTCATACTCATTCACCTTGTTCAATGCCCACCTCACCCTAAAGTATTCTTTATCGGTAGAAACTGTATTTACCTTGATAAATATAAACTTTCTATGTGTACTTTTATTTAAGTTATGCTCTCTTTTTAAAATTTCATTTTTATTCAACTCTACAGTCCATTCCTGTAAACCATCAGGATTTTCTCTGGTCTGATTTGCAATATGTTTTGTGTTTGCTAGCAAATGTGGAACTTTTCAGTCCGTGTCCTTTCTCTATGTGATAGAAGATCTAATTACCACCCAGCATGAAAGAGCAGCTGAAATGAAAAAGGCAGCAAGACAAGGCACTAGCTTCACTCGGAGCCAAACAGCTATTTCCTTTATGTATGTCTCAGCTAGAGAGCAAAGGGAAATACCATTCATTAAAGTAACTCATATATTAAACATTCTTTTCCTCTCTGGATTTAAACTGAAAGGGGTTCGTTCAAATCTTTATGGAAGCAAGACATTAAACAAATATTTTTAATTTTCTGTAGTATTCATTAAGGTATCCTTAAATTATGTGAAATATTTCCATCATCAGGGTTGTTATTGTCCCAACACATTTTCTTGACATTTAAACAGATAAAACCAACAGTCTTTACAGAAATGAAATAAAATCAAGTGAACCATTAATCTTTTTTTCATAAGGCTTAGAATTTTACTTAATTTGGAACTTTTGGATCCTAAATTTTTTGGGGAAAAATAACACTAGATAGATCTTTTAAAAAGCATTTGTCATGTTAATATAATAATTTTGGGGCTTTTTATTTTCTGGAATAAGTTGGGGGATTAACATCACAGGGGCAAAAGATTGATAATATTTTACTTTTAAAAATTACTGTGGTTTGAGTTTTCAGTTATTATATTGTCCAAAATTACAAAGGTAGAGGGTATGTATGGGAGTGGGAGGGGGGATTGGTAAGATATGTACACATATAATACCTTAATAAAAAAATGAAAAAAAAAATTACAAAGGTAGATACCATGTGGTATTGGGGGCTGTGGAGAAACACTTTATTAAAAAATGGAAATACAAGCCCTAGCAGATTTGGCTTAGTGGATAGAGCGTTGGCCTGTAGACTGAAGGGTTTCAGGTTCGATTCTAGTCAAGGGCACATTCCTAGTGTTGCGGGCATAGTCCCCAGTTGCGGGTGTGCAGGAGGCAGCTGATCAATGATTCTCTGACATCATTGATGTTTCTCTCTCTCACTCCCTCTCCCTTCCTCTCTGAAATCAATGGGAATATATTTAAAAAAAAAAGAGAAGAAAAAAAAGAAAAGAAATATGCCCGTGACCTAGTAATTCCACCTTTAGGAACCTATTCTTGAACATTATGGATAAAAATGTTTCTAGTGATATTATTTGTAACATAAATAGAAAAAAAAGCAAAAATAATCATTATTAGGAGAATATTAAGTAAGTTATGATAGCCCTAGCTGGTGTGGCTCAATTGGTTGGACCATCATCTCATACATTGGAAGGTTGTGGGTTCGATTCCCAGTCAGGGCACATGATCAGGTTGTGGGTTCTATCCCTGGTCGGGTGCGATCCCCAGTTATGGTGCATGTGGGAGGCAACCAATTGATATTTTCTCTCTCTCTCTCTCTCTCCCCCCCCCCCCTCTCTCTCCATCTTCCTTTCTTTCTCAAAAAATCAATCAATCAATCAATCAATCAATATATATCCATATCCAGATGTACCTCATTCTTTTAAGTAGCTGCTCTTAGGATGAAATACATTTGCATGTACTGACAAGGAATATTCCAGAGCCGAGAGACTCTGTTCTTGGGTGGAAGGCATTGATGGGAGGGGCATATTTTTTATGTCCTGTTTGAATTTTCTTTTACCATGTATATGTGTTAGCTTTCATAATTAAAAAGAAATTTCAATTTTTTCTTTAAGGATTCCGCCCAGGAGAGTGTTATCACTCGAGACATTCATCGGACGTTCCCTGCACATGATTACTTTAAGGACACAGGAGGAGATGGCCAGGAATCGCTCTACAAGATCTGCAAGGTAGAGCTCTCAGCCTCAGGTTTTCTAATTGATTTTACAGACTATCTTCAGGAACCCATCTGAAAGAGTCTGAGATTTCTTTCCGTCTTCCTTTCTTATGTGCACTGTGCATGTTCTCTGCTTTACATGGAAACTTCAGTCCTACCTAGGTCCTGAAGGTATCTTTTTGGCTGCATGTTCAGTGCCAACTGAGGAAGAGGCACAGTATAGTCCCAGTTTGGCTCTGCTGCGAACAAAAGGGAACAGAAGGTCCGCTTCAGGCCACTGCAATAAATGCTCAGTGGAGGGCCCATCACTCTGCCCTTCTGACAAGATAATGTGACAGTTGCCTCAATTTTTTGACAGTAAGCAGGATTAAGAAGTACTGTGACACCTGTTACTGATATACCCTGTGTTGTCACAGCGTGCGTCTTCGTGCAGTTTGTTCTTCTCCCTCATGGGTGGTAGGCCTGAAAGAAAACTGTTTTCCTGGCGTTCAGTAAATATGCTTGGGTACAAAATACTCTGTTTCTGTTAGTGGAGAATACTCATTAGAATATTATTCATTCCTCTAGGTCATATCAGAAGTGCAGAATGAAGTTAATTCCTCAAATTGTCAATGCTAAATGAGGCCAAAGACTCAAAATTATGAAAGCATTAAACAAAGTTGCCCCTTTCCTCACACTTAAGTTGCCCTACGATGTGCGATGGGTTTACTCAGCGTTCTTCTCATCTACCATTGCAATAGAGGTTAACCAACAGGGAACTATCCAGAATCTTGTAAAAATATGGAGAAAAAGCAAACACTATGACTAATTTGTAAGTTAGATAATCAGTTCCTGAATAATCAAAGTTAGCCTTTTAAGCATCATAGATGAGCCAGTAAGTAATCAGAAGTATACTCACATATCGACATCATTATATATTTACTGTTTTTTTTTTAATGGCACTTATAAAAACACTTGCCTGCATATGCTAACCAAGCAGGATTGATATTTATTTATTTATTTATTTATTTATATTTTTTAAATATATTTTATTGATTTTTCACAGAGAGGAAGAGAGAGGGATAGAGAGTTAGAAACATCGATGAGAGAGAATCATCGATCAGCTGCCTCTTGCACACTCCCTACTGGGGATGCGCCTGCAACCAAGGTACATGCCCTTGACTGGAATCGAACCCGGGACCTTTCAGACCACAGGCCAACACTCTATCCACTGAGTCAAACCGGTCCTGGCGAGGATTGATATTTAATTGTGCAAAGGGCTCAGCTTTCAGAAAGTCATCCTTGCATGTTTGTGGGTTAGCCCTCCGCTCACTCCTGTCTTGTTTAATCTATATTGTCTTTTTCTTTTTTTGTCTCCTGATGGCCTCATTTTTTAGGATTGTAAATATATACATGATCAGAAGTACATAAATAACTGAAAATCTGAGAATGTACTGATTTCTAGAAAGTGATACATCTTTTAGTTTTAAAAATGTCAAAACCATCCAACACCACAAAAAATGTATAATGTATTTATTATATGCTTGTAACAGGAAAAGGTAATTATTAAAAGTATTTTTGATCTGTTCTGAAATTTTACAGGCTAATTAGATTCTGGCTTGTATAAGGCAGATATCAAAATGTATATAGTTTCTAAATTTATTTAGAAGGGCTTGGCTTATGGGATATAGAACAACATTTTCCCCTTAGCGTTGAATATGTTTTCAATCAAACAGTGACTTTTCCCTCAATTTTTCTCTTATTGATGCTCGATATTTTTTTCACATAACTAAACAGATGGCTCCATGTGCTTGCAGCCTCTGACTTAGTTTTGCTCTATTGTAGTAAAAACAGTATTTGCCTCATTATGTAATATTTAGAAGGAAATATCTGAAACATTACTGAACACAAAGATAAAAGTTAAACAGTTGGTAAATTTAAGTTCTTACTAACACATTACTGGCTAATAACCTAACCTTGAATTCATTAAAAAAATATTCATTAGTAATTTACTCATGTAGCCATTTTAGATTATCAATATAGATTTTGAAACATAGTTTTCAAAATTTATGTTTATTGTTGAAATTATTATAGATGTTCCTTTCCCCCCCCCCCATTAACCCCCTCCACTTCTTCCAATTCCCCTCCCCAGACCTTCACTGCACTATTGTCTGTCCATGGCAATTAGACAGTTTTAAAAGCTTTTTTTGAGTAAAGAATATTATAAAAATGTAGCACTAAGATACCTTAATTGCTGACTATTGATAAATTGCACTAAATTTTGTGAAAATTGCTGAGAACAAAGGAACCATATTAAAAACATTTTAAAATTCAAGATAGTAAATATAGATTGCTGAGGGTTGTAATATTGTACTACAATATGAATTACTTAAACGTAAGTTTCCAACAGCCTTTGATAATGGAGGAGAGCAGAGATGAACATATCAGAAAATGTTTTAGAAACCAAAATTCACTGGAGTCCTACCATATGGAGTCCTACCACTTGGTTTGTCATTGATACAACACCTCTTCCTTTTGATCTACCATGAATTAGCAGTCAAGTGCTCATTGGTAGTGATAACTCACAAATTGCACAGCATACTTAATAATTTAGGATTGAGTATTAGTCTCAGGTTTGTACATCCTATTTCCTTTGCTTCTTGCATTCAGTTTGAACCATAGTCTTTCATTTTATGACTGCCCCATGTCCCCAAAAGCTATTGTGTGTAACTTTAAAGCCACAGAGTGTGACCTACCTGTTCTATCATTTTAATTTCTAGAATAATATCCAACATTATACTTCACACACTCAGCGGTATACTTTTGAGTTACATTCTGGATGCCTTGCACAAAATCAAATAAACATTCATAATACATTGATATAAAATCAGCCATTTTGTTATATAATCTGTAAATAATGATAGTTTTGCTTCTTCTTACCAATTTCTTCCCCCCCCCCTTATTCTTTTTTCTGTCTTACCACACTGGACAGAACCTCTATTATAGTGTTAAAATGAATACATGTCTTACTCCTGATTATAAAGGATCAGCATCTAATGGTTTGTCACTAAGAATGGTGCATATTATTAAAATGTGCATCTTGTTCACATCAGTAACACACAGTATAGACCTTTTTAAAAAAAAATACAGTGCCTCCATGTGCCTTATAATAATTTCACATTTACAGAGTGCTGTCACACTTACTACCTCATTTATTTCTTACAATTCCTCACTCGTAAGGCCTATAGGAGAGTTACAGTATGCTCTGCTCTTAAATTGATACAGAAGTTAAGAGAATTTTAATTACAATAAGTGTTGAAACTAACTTTGGTTTCAAGGATACAAGAGTCTGACTTTGTAGTTGAAGTTTTCTGTGGCTCTGGTGAGATGACAAATGACCTGAACTGTCAGGTTAGAGGGAACACAGTTAAAAACATGCTGTCATGTTTTAATGGCCCTGTCAATTTCAGCTTTTGCCTTTTAGTATCATTTTCACAGTAGGAGGAAATCAAAATGGTTCAAAGATTCTGATGTTGTCATAAATTTGTGTGTGGAGTTGAACTGGAGGTAGAATAGTAGAATTCACAGGATTCTGAAAATGTGAAGGTTTGGGCTCCCCTTCCTCCCACCTTCCTCCTTCCTGTCTTTCAATAACATGTTTTAAAATAGTGTCCTTCAAAGGAAGAAAAATGTGATGCCATCCCAGGTGTCTTTAGCACTTTTCTAATTTACATATGATGTGAAAACTGTTTTCTGTTGGGGGGCAGGTTCAAGAAGTTTAAAGGAGTGAGCATCAAGAGATCTGGTTCTGGTCTTGATTCTTCCCCTAAGAAGATCTAAGATTTGATCTTCTTTTTTGGATTTGCTCCTCATTGGAGTATGGGTTCTGATAAGATTATTTTATTTCCAATTTGCTATGATTCTTAATGTTGTTTTTAAAATTTTCCTAAAATGTAACAGATGAATTCCTATGTCAGGTATTTTCTCTCTCAATATTGAAGCTATAAGGGAGTGTGATTTATAATAACTTTGATTTGTGATTTAACCTTGCTTTCTGTTGTTGTGTTTGGTGTGTGTTTTAGGAACACCTGAAATGAAATACATTTAGTGAGTTACTTTTAGATAACTTCTTTTGATGAGAATTCTTCCCTGTGGCTTCCTTTTTTCACTCTATTAATGCTATCTTTTGATGAATAGGCTATTAAAAAAAGTGAGGCCCACTTTATTAATCATTTATTTTATGGTTAGTGTTTTGGTGTCCTGTTTAAGAAGTATTTGTCTAACCCAAAGTGATGAAAATATTATCTGTAATCTAGACATTTTATTCTTTTGCTTTTTACATTGGGATTATGATCTCTCTATAGTTGGTTTTTGGATGAAGTAGAAGTCAAGGTTCATTACCCTCTGCCCCATGTGTATCTCTGATTGATCCATCGTTACTTTAAAAAAAACCATTCTTTCCCTTACTGTATTGCTAAAGCATTTTTTTTTTATAAGTCAGATCCATGTATATGTGGTTTTGTATCTGGGCCATTCTTTCTTTTTTGGGGGTGGGGACAAGAGTTGTTATTTTATTTTTTTACTGAATATGTTTGACATAATTACAGTCACTGTACATTTAAAGTATACAGTGTTTTAATTTGATACATTTATGTATTATAATAGGATTGCCATTGTAGCAATATTTTGCATCTCTATCACAATTCATAATTATCCTATCATTTTAGTGGTTGGGATAATTAAGTTTTTGTGTCTTATTAGCAAGTGTCATGATTGTAATAATATATTATTATCTATATTCATTATATTGTGCATTAGCTCTCTATGGCTAATGTGTACTCATTGCAAATTTGTACCTTTCATGAATATCAATCTTAATCTCCCCACCCCCACTCCCTGGTAAACACCATTTCACACTTGGTTTTCTACAAGTTTGACTTTTTTTTTTTAAGATGCCACATTTAGGTGATATCATATAGTATTTGTCATTTCTTTGACTTATTTCACTTAGTGTAATATTCTCAAGCTCCTTCT